ATTTGTTTGAACAACATGAAATAATTACTCTAGCAATGTACTAAATCAACTGAAAAAGATTCCAGTGAAATAAAAGCACAAAGAAAAAAAAAAAAAAACGAAAGCAGAAGGTACCTTTTTGACAAATGTGCATGCTATTACTTTATTTATCTCCTCCTCTGCATTTGTGTTCCTCTTTCTGGATAGATAAAATTTTCTTTTCTCTGAATGTAACTTTGAATAATTTAATGAAATATAAGTAAATTCTAACCAAATATAAAATAAATATGTGAAGGAAATATGTTAATAAGGATGAAATATTGAGGAACTATGTATTCAGAATATATCAATTATTATGAATAGAACAGTACTACATTTCTTTCAAACTTTTCTTGAAAATACAATCAAAGCTTAAACTTATGAAGAAGTTTCAAATTATGAGAGAGTCAGTTTAACGTTTCATTTTAATTTTTTTCTTTCCTGTTTTATATTCTGTGCCATATTTTAAACTAAAGTCAAAGAGCTGTAATAGATATTTTTTTAACCACTGTATTAGTGCAGAAAACCTCATTCAATGTATATGATTTAAAGTTTGCTCTTATTCTATACTTAGGTACTAGCTGCATGTTTGAATCCTCGGTTAAAAAGCTTAAGACTAGTAATAAATTCTTGCTTCTGATCAAAACCCTTTGAAACTAGCTTATTGCTGGAATTTCTCCAGCAATTCACTTAGAATCATAAAAATGTTAGTTGCAGATCACTTAGTCCAGTCTCCCACTTGAAGCGGGACCATTGCCAAGACCAGTTTAGGTCACTTGTGACACTGTTTAGCCAAGACTTGAAAGCCTTCAAGGATGGAAAATACACAGTCTATCTAGGTACCAGTTTCAGGACTGCACCACCATTCTAGTGACTAAATTTTTTCCTCCTATTCAACCTGAACTCTCTAAGCAGCAACTTGTAGTCACTGGGTTTTGTTTTAACATCTGCCGCTGCTGAAATGTGTTTGCTTCCATCATCTTTTCAAGCAATTGTAGTTTGCTCCATCCCCTCCCTCCCACTTCTCCGTCACTTGATCCTGTATTTTTGTAAATGACATTCTCAATATCTAGGATTTGCCAAGACAAATAACATTTAGGCTATTAGTGCCTGAATACAGGATTCAAGGAGGACAGGATTGAGTTAGTAAAAGACGACTCAATTGTGAATCTCCTGGGAAATCCCAATACATACAAGATGGGCTACATCCAAGAATGCCGTATGACGTTATTGCAAGGCTGCTAACATCTCTGAGAATCTGTGGAGATAAGGGGTTCAGTTCTGTTCCCTTCGTCAATGAGCTGGAGGAGATGGAGCACACTCTCATCATGTTTGCAGATGACACCAAACTGATGGGTGCAGTCAATATGCTCAAGGGCAGAACTGCCATTCAGAGAGGCTTAGGCTAGAAGAATAGACTGACAGGAACATCAGGAAATGCAGCCACAAAAGCGATAAACTTAACCACTGCCACAGTTCAGGCTGGGACTGTCTGGGGCTGGGATGCAACTCTATTGAACAGGGCCTGGAGTCCTGTTAGAGAGAAGGGTGAACATGGGCCAGAAGTGCAATCTGATAGCAATGAAAGCCAGCAACATCCTGGATGGGTAATGTCACCAGTAGATCAAGGAAAGTGATTGCTTCCCTTTTGCTAGACACTTATTAGACCGTATCTGGAATAGTGTGTCTTCTTTTGGGTCCCCTTGTTACAGCAAGAATGTTTATAAACTTGAGAAGATCTAGTGGAGAGCCACCTAGGTGTTTGGATGCTGGAGAAGATGGTGTTTGGGGAGGGGATGAGTGTGAGATGGGTCTGCTCAGCCAGGGGGAGAGCTGAGCCTGATGTTCTAATAGCTGTGAAGATGGTGTTAAGGCTGTTTATTAAGATGCATGGTGGGAGACTGAGGAGTCATAAAGAGGAGATTTGTACAGGATATAAGAGAGAAAATAATTCACTATATTCACTGTGAAAGCAATTAAATGTTGGATCAGTTTCCCCAGAAAGGTTGTACAGTCTCTGAACTTGGATGTTTTCAAGACTCAAATGACTAAAGCCTGGAGTGACTCAGTCTGAGCTCACATCTGACCCTGCTTTGGGCAGAGGGTTTTGGGCTGAGACCTTCTACACTCCCTTTCCACTTGAATAATTTATGATTCTATCGATTTTCTATAAAGTGCATATTACTCATATGCATTAGTTTAACACAGTTTAAAAATTAAACTTAACAGCCTAATTCACTTGCCTTAAGTTCCATAAACATTTCCCAATGGCTTATTTTAAGGATTCCTCTGAGAATACAATTTCTGATCTTACAGTAAACATGCCTTTACTGCTTTGTTTTCAATAAGCTGAAAGTATACATAGACAAGAGTATGTTGGTAGGATAAAGACAATCTTCATATCCGTTGCTTTCATTGATGTGATCTAGGCTCTATCTATTGGACATGCAGCTGTGAAGACATGATCATGTGATTCAGTGATAATGGTGTTCATTTATGTTAAAAAATAAGAAGGCAGACTAGGAGAACTGGAGATAGCACCATTACATCCTTACCATGGCAGTAATTTGCTATAAATATCCTCCTTCTGAAAGGAGCCACTGAAATGGGATAAACAAATAGAAAAAGAATCTTCTGAACAGAGCTATTTTCTTCTCTGGTGGACCTATTTCAAGTAGTTTCTTTTGGGTAACAAAGAAAATCAGTGTTGTAGCCAAGATAATAAAAATATTTGATTAGAACCCTCCATTTCAAAGATACTAAACTCCTCCAGTTCCTCCTGATTTCAACGAGGTTGGATCTGCAGCCTAACTTTGATAATAAAACAAAATTTTCTAAAGTGTTGCTTGCACATCTGACACCTAAGGCTAGGAATCTGACTTCACCGAAAATGTTTTATCCTTTTTTTTTCTTACAGAATTCTCTGGAATTTCACTGGAGCAAATGAAATCAAAAGATACTTAGAATCTCTTAATTTTTCATTTTTTTATTTATTCTGTCATGTGAATTCAGTTAGTGTGAAGTATGCACGCATGGAAATTTAGAGAAGATAGATGAGCTCTGTTTTTCTAAAAAGGAATGAACATAGAATCTTTTCCATAGGTTATACCACTTCCATAGGTTATACCACAAAAGACATTGAAATACTGATCCTGTAAATTACATTATATTAAATTATTATTGTATTGTAGCTAGCACTAATTCTTACTTGTTGTTAACATATCTTTAGCATCTCATGCATGACCACAAGTTATTCTAAAATGTCTCATTGTACAAAGAGGTAACTACTTTTTTTAAACTGTGGTCTCTGTCACAACAACAACAACAACAACAACAACAACAAATCTGAGGGAAAATGCTGGTATAGCAGTCACTGAATAACTTGCTCTGGAGCCCTCATTTGGATCTCCATGGTACCTGGCACAGAGCTGGAGCTCAAACTCTCACATTTCACTTCCAAAAAAAAACAGGCCACTGACTATTTCATGTTTTTATCAGTATTGTTTATCCAACATGACTGCTGGCTGTTTTAAGGGAGTGTCCCTACACTTATTTTCTTGATATTATATATATATATTTTATATATATATATATTCTTGATATATTGTTTAAGTATCTCTCCAAGCGGCAAACTGAAATAGTTTCTCTTAAATGCTCTAGTCACTGGTTGGTGGGCACTGTCCTAGGATAAAGGATTTGTAGATTTAAGTTCAAGAACAAAATTAAGCTTGATGAAGTTTTGAAATTGAAAGGAAGTGGGAGCACAAGCACACGTTGATATGCTCTTACCTGCTTTGATTGTTTGTTAGGTTTAAGCATGATTTGAGAACTACAAAGAATTTTCTCAGACCTCAGCAAAAATAAATAAATAAATAATATTTTTTTTTTTTAAAAAGGAAATGCTTTGTTTGAGAATGCCATGGGAGTTTAGACATTAGCCAAAGGGTATCAACAGTGTGGATGTATGAGAACTGAGGCAGGTATATCTGTGCAGTAGTCAAATTGTTGTTTCTGCTACAAAGAGATTAAGAAATGCTCAGTCCATGTTTGAATGATAAATTGTAATGAAATAGTCATCCAATAATTTGAAGTTTCTTTTGAAGTTTCCAATGGTAAAGACCTTTAAAATTCTCTTCGTAAAAGGTATACATTAAAGATGCATTTTTAATCAGCAAGTATACTCACCAATACAATTCTAATAAAAATTAGTAGTTTTAGCTAAAAATATTGGTAACATAAATGATCTTAAATTTAATGGTGAGCAAATTTGCAGATAAAATTTGCAATATGTGCAATCCATGTTAATTCTGAGTGTGGGTTGCGTATGCAAGGTGAATATTAGTCAAATTAAGATAACTAATACTTTGAGCAGAGAGTAGTGTTAATTGTCATTATTACTGAATGGTTGAAGGTTATGATTTCTGTAAACATCCTCATATAGACAAGATTTGCCTCATAAATAACTCTAAGGAGGTACAATGAGGTAAAAGAAAAATGGGAGGAGTAGGTTGGAATATTAAAGATTGCAGCCAGGTAACATTAAAGATTACAGACAGGTACAAAGAAGTACAAAAACATAATTAGAAATGCACAGAATCATTTAAATTAAGTGAAAAAAAAAGACAAATTAATAAAAGTGAACACAATAAAAGAAATCAAAATTAAATTAATTTGTTTAAACAAATCTTTGTCCTCCACGTGAATTTTTGATTGAGTCAATCTCATATCTTCCACTGCAGTAATGCAGTAATGCACTTGATGATGAGTTTATAAAATAGGCATGTCTTTGGAATAAAAAGAATATTTATTCATTCATTATTTTGTAATCGCATGCACGCCAAATAAGCATAAGCTAGGACATCAAGTGCTAGCCAGCAGGACAATGTTTGGGAAATTAAATTGCAGGAGAATGATGTAGTGTTGAAAAGCTCATGCTGTGGCATTAAAGCTGTGAACATTTCCCCTTGATGGTTTTCACACAGGAATCAAGGGAAATGTGTAGAGGGCATGGTGGAAATCTTTGACATGCTGCTGGCTACTGCTGCTCGGTTCCGCATGATGAATCTTCAGGGGGAGGAATTTGTGTGCCTTAAGTCCATCATCCTGCTCAATTCTGGTAAGTGGTGCGCTGTGCTTTCACTTGAGTCTTTGCTTGTGCTTCTGCATTTAGTTTTAATGCTGGTTGTTATCACTGAACGATGTATTTATTTCGAAACAGCAGCAATTGGAAGGGAACTACCAACATAGATACTATGTAGGACTGCCAGGCAGGGACACAGGAGGGTAAAGCTTGTTCAGTGGTGTATTCGGGAGCCAGTGATTTAATGCAAAATGGAGTTGATAAAGAGAGTGTGGCAAACATAATTTATTTTCATTGTTTTGAACTAGGCACTGGCAGGTCATGATGAAGCGTGGACTAAGGGAGACTAAAGTAGCTGAAGCCACACTCCATCCAAAACAAAATTGGGCCAATGCTTTCTCTTTTTTGGTAATAGTAAAATAAAGGAAATAATGTCAAAAGATGTATCTGAGTTTTTCAAAACTAGTATAGAGGTCATGGATTGCATTATAGTAAAGTACAGACGTCTAAGCTTGATGCAATCATTTTACCTTTATAAATTATGAAATGAAGTAAATATTTTGAGGGTGGAAACATCATGCTAAAGTAGTCTGAAAAAATAGGTGCCTGGATTAAAAAAAAAGAAAGGAAATATATATATTTATAAATATAAATACATACATATATAATATATATATTTATAAATATAAATACATATATATATATAAACATGTATGAAAAGTTATCTAAAGGTATGTATTTATATAAATATAAAAAAAGATGACTAGCTAACTGGTTTAGGTGTAGATATCAAAAATAACTGAGATGAATTCTGTATCACATAAATGAAATAAGAAGATCAAGATAGTGAAGTGTGGCACAAGACTTTCTATTGCACACAGGAAGGTTTTTTTATGTTTAAAAAGACAGAAAACTCAAGACAATTTCCATTTAGATGCAGAATTGAAAGTCACAATATTCTTACGGCAGTGATAGAGCTCAAAAACAATTATGTAGGCACCAAAGTCGAAATTTTAGACTGACATCTCTACTAAGCTCCTACCTAATGACTACAGATGCCTGAATTTAATAACACTCCTCGAAGAGCCACACATTTGTTCTCCACTTTCTCTACTGCGTCTAAACTCAGTATTAGTCTCTGCACAAAACGCTTGTATCTTTTCTGTGTATCTTTTCTACCTGGTTGTGTAACAGAGCACTTTCCCAAGCTGTATGAAATACAAGTTCAGTTAATGCTCACCGAAGAATTCTAAGCATTCCAGACATTGCCTTATTAACCAGCCGCTAATTCTTTACAGACATTGGGACCTGATCTAATCAGGAAAAAAAGAATAGAAAAAGAAAAAAAAAGTTACAACAATGTGATATAGTAATCTTGTTAAATATAAAACACTTCACTAATGTTTTAATGTTCTATGAGATATTATTAATATGGTTCAGGGTTTTCGTGATTGCCACTAATTTCCAGTGATTGACATCTGTGACAAGAACCTGGCATATAAAGGATGAAGGGCTATTGTTTATATCTTGGATGTCAAAGTGAGGTAACTGTAATAAAACACTAAGTCTGATATTTTATTTTCCTCTCATATTTCTCTCATATCTTGATAATTATAGGAATATTTTTCTATTTTATTGTGAAAAGTGATGCTGCTCCAGATTTTAGCTAATATATTCAAATGTAATTATACTCTTAAATAAATCTGGAATATGTAATCGATTTATAAAAATGCTGAATTACTGTTAGAACATAAATGGAATTAAAAGGTTGAAGGAAATGAACTGAGGATTCTTGTCTTGAATTTGAAATTATTGACCTACACTGTTAAGAATTTTTGTCCCACTGCTATGTTTAATATTGATCCATAAAACTAGATTTTTTTATTTAGTCATTTCTTTACCAGACATTGCCAGGTATATGTTATAACCACATCTCACTTTCATTAATAGTATTTTTCCTTCAAGATTCCTCTAAGGAAAAATGGTGAAAAAAATACAGCAAGTGAAGTCAGTGGGACTTGGATAAACAGAGGCAGAGTTGCTTCTGCACATAAAAGAGATGAGCCCGGAGGGAGAGGCCAGCTGGTATTAGCTTTTCACTCCTACAGGGTTTAGAACGGTACAGCAAGTATTTCAGATCGATGGTGCTGTGTGTACTACAAGGTCAGAACTGAGTGATCTGATTTTGTGGGGCCTTTTGTTTTGTTTTGACACTAAATGTATGTTTGTAGCTGTCCAGAAGTTTACATGTTTTTAGAAAAGTCTTGATGGTGATAGATGAGAAGGCACATTTCAGGTAAATCTGCTGCAGATTCATGGTAAAAGCAATTCACCTTTGCTAAGCAAAGCATCATGTTTTATTCTGGTTTGTGCACTTACTCATTGAGGTGTATCTGAGAACAGCATAAACTAAACATACATATATATATGTTCACAGAGTGCATGGCCATACCACTTCTAATAGACTTTATAGCTAGATGTAATTCCCTATTTATTTATTTACTTGCATTCCTATAGTCGATGATGTTTAAAAAGAATTAATTATTGGAAATGTGAGCACAAACTTCTGGTTGTCACATCCTTCAGATGCTCAAATTAGGAGACAAGGTTTCTTACAGAGATAGATAAGTAGTATGGTTTGGAGTATGTGTAGTAGCTGCATAACTGTTATCTAGCATAGGTACTCTGAACTATCCTCTGGAGATGCTTGTCTCTGCACACTATAATTATCCTCTTTTAGACACAGTGTTGGACACACAGGAAATGTGAAGTACTCAACATCACTCAGCATAGAGGATTTCTGAGGACAGCAAAGGGTTTCTTCTGCCTGGAAAAGGGAAGGTTAAGGGGGCTTCCATCGTAGTCCTCAGAAATCTGTCTGGCCAGGGCCAGACTCTTCTTAGAGGCGCGCAGTGAAAGGATGAGCTTCTATGGAGACAAAAACAGCAGCAAGGCAGGTGTTGTTTAGGTGAACAGAAAAAGTACTTCACAGAGAGAGCCAAGCACTGAAACCGGTCAGTGAGAAGGACTGTAGGATCAATGTCCTCAGCAATACTCAGTATTCAGCTGGCTGAAGGATGGAACAGCTTGCTCTAACTTTCAAATGAGCCCTGTTTGAGCAGGAAGTTGACCTAGATGATCTCTAGAACCTGCCCTACAAAGCTGATTTTTATTCTATGATTAGGTACTCAAATAAATGTAAACATTACACTAATGTGGGATATTCCCCATTGGGGATGATCCCATTTGGGGATATTTCCCCCAAAATGTGGGAAAACACACCAAAAATGTTGGCTTCCCTGCTGTCTGCATTTTAGATATGCTGTAGCATGTGAGTTGCCCTTCAAAGCTGCAGCAATAAACCATTCAAGTAAAAGGAAAATTCCATTCTTGAAAAACAAATTTAGCTCAATAATAAAATGCTGTTCCTTAACACTGTAAAGTAAGTATTAGAAATGTCAAAGGGAAGCGTGTTGCCAGACCTTTACTTTTTAAGTAGATCTGAGAAGAGGCATGGTGTTATATGGCAAAGCAATCGCCTTTCATTTTAAAGTTGAAGCTGTAGGTCATTTCTGCCATAGCAGCTAATTCACCTAATCATTTATGCCATAGTGATGGAAAGATTTAGTTGATTTCATGAAGCCTGCAGACCTTTTGATGCATTATTTAATGTGGCTTTTTTTTGTTTCACTCTTTTCTGTTATTTTTTCCAATTCCTTTTAAATTTTACTTTTTATATATTTTTTCTTTGGGGATGATTCCAGAGCTGAGTTTGCTGAGAGCTCAGCCTGGCTTGATACAGATGGAGACACATAGGAATGGGCCGTGGTGGATGGGGCAAAGACTCAGGGATATTGGTTGGTGGTAAGCATAAAGATGCTCTAAACTGGGGCTTTTTCAACAGAATAGGTAAAGAAGACTTCTCCCCGCTTTAGCAATATCCAAAAAGTCCTTTACCACTGTTTGACAACTCTGTCATGGTAAGACTGCAGTCCCTAAGAGGATTTGTTTATGCATGATTTTGAAACTTTGAAATACAGACACAGGTAGGCAGATGCTTGCTTGCAGTGCAGTGCTTTTTCAAGCCTCTATTCTATAGCATTTAATAATATTGACATAGAGTTGGAAAACAACTTGGTAGCTTTTCTTTCTTTCTGCTTCAGACTTTGGAAAGACCTCTGAGACTGCTAAATTTCACTTTGCTAAGACAGTTTTTATTCACTCTTCTTCCAAATCTCCCTTTGTGTGTGTGTGTGTCTGTGTGATGAATAGCTGGAATTTCTTTGGGGAAAATTTTAGGTTGTTGGCCTGGGGCAGGAGTAATCACCTGGGGTAGAAATGAGAACCAACAGTCATTTTTCTTTGCTACTGTTATGGATTGGCAATTGCCTGAAGCTGTTACAATTTTTTAAACTTTTTTTTTGATTTGTAATTTTTAATAGCTTCTGGACTAGACCCAGGTGAGAACAATTCCTCTCAACAGGATTTTTTTGCTTGTTGGTTTCAAAGCTATGAAGCTAAGGAATATTGCTACCAGGGCACACTAGTATTCTCTGCTTGAGGTAAGATGCCTTGGAAGCACTATTGGATTATGAGAAGAATGTTTTCCTCTAATGGATTGTGGTTTATCAGTCAAATTTAAGAAAGCTTTTTCTACATGATCCTACTAAAATCTAATGCCCAGCATTATCAATAGACATATATGGATAGGCATATATGGGTAGAAGTCATTCAGCTGGAAAAAAAACTTTTACTTTCTTTTTGGTGAATAAATTTCAGTTAAAAAATAATAAATAGCTGTGTGAGTAAAATGGTTATTGCATGGTTTGTAAATTGGTTGCATGGTTTTCAGAGTTTGAAACCATCAGCTATCCTCTTTTTAATGGTCTTGATCATTTTCTTCCTGTGCCTGCCTTTTGTTGATTTTTTTTTTCAAACAAAGCAGATTTTTCTTTTTCTTGACTCACAGATTGGACATTCTTGATACCACTGGGTATTGGTTTCACAGTTTTGAGTCTGATGTTCCAGTGAGCTGCCTGAAGTGCCTATGTTTAGATCATGGTGCTGGAGGTCTTTTGATGTTCAGCATTCCATTGTTTTTGTCTGAATTTAGCTGTTAAAATCTAGATAATTCAGAGGAGTATCCTTAATTGTTTGGAAGACCAGCTTCCCATTACTGCCATTCTCTGCTTTATATGACAGTACTTAACACTTTTACTTTTTGTAGAGGTCCAGATAGATTATTATTTTGTCTCTGCTTTTCCTCCTTTCTTCCGTTCCCTCTCCCCTCCTACTTAGGGGGAAAAAAAAGAAAAAAGAATCAGTGAGTTCCAGAAACCAGTATGAAGCAAAGTTCAAAAGACTGCTTGGCTATTCATGTTTGCAGTCTGATTATTAAGGTTCCCAAAATACACTGCAATCATTGAAGAATAAACAACAGTTTTAATTCATTCTCCATTATGCAATACATTTGCATTGACTATGTGTTGTCTTCCAGAGCAAATTCATGACCGCTCTCCAAAAATGTGCAAAATAGATCAGAATTTCTAAAGTAGACAGCTGACGTGCCTCACAAGAGTTACTACCAGTGGAAAGGTTAGAGCAGTTTCTACAAAACATAGAAGTGGTGCTGGGTAATGAGTTTGAAGGTGTTTTCATCTCTAGAAAATAATTTCTTTCCAGTCCAAAATTTCTAACTTCTCACTTTCAGAGATGATATGCCTGTCTATTTTACATGGGTTGCTCTGGACATGGCTTTTAAAGGAGAACCAGGTTTGCAGATGAAGGGGTGCACCTTACAAGGTTGCTGTTTGCTTGGTTGGTCTTGTTTGGTTTGGAGGTTTCTTTTACGGTGAGGTGACCGTGGCTAAATAAAAACTGGTTTTGTTTACACAGTAATCTGCACATACTGATTGCCTGGGCTGAGTAAGCAGCGCATATAGTCTGCCTTGGGTGCTCGTTTCCCCTGCCACCAAGAACAGCAGCTTGGGCCATGGAATGAAGCCAGGCTTGCATGAGGTGTCTTTTTCCTCTTCCTTCTTTGCCATGGTGGCTGATAACAAGCTCTGGAGTAGGGCAAGAGTTTTGTCAGTGCAAGAGTTGTGTTCCTTATGGGCCTGTGAAGTTTTTGGTTTCCATGTGCTTTACAAATGGATTGATTTAATCTGCAAACAGTCTCCTGGATAGCACCTTCCTTTCTCTGTTTGGGAGATCTGATTTGTTTGAGATTTCTCCTGTGCATCTTGGTGCTCTGTGGTGACTCTCTCCACATCCTTCCCAGTTACCAGGAGGTGAGGAGATGTTCAGAAGCCAGGGTGGCGGCCAGGCCATGGTGCAGGGTGCCCTGCCACACATCTGGAGAGCCTGGCTCTCTACTTGTTCCTGTCAGTGACTGGTTTGGCCAGCACGGTGCATCCCGCCTGTCTTGGGCAGCCAGACTTGCCTCTGGTCAAGCCAAGCAGGTGATGAAGGAAAAAGAAAACAGAGTGGAAGGAAAAGGAGGTTAACAGGTCAAGTCTTGTGGTTTAGTGCAGCTAAAGCAGCCAACCATGAGGTATACCTTGAGCAAGTCTGACTATCAAAGTAATTTTTATCTGTGGTTTGTTTGTTTTCTTTCCCTTCCTACTCCAGGTGTGTACACTTTTCTTTCCAGCACCTTGAAATCCCTGGAAGAGAAAGACTATATTCACCGTGTTCTGGACAAAATCACAGATACTCTGATACACTTAATGGCTAAGTCGGGTCTTTCCCTGCAGCAGCAACACAGGCGGCTGGCTCAGCTCCTGCTCATCCTCTCCCACATCAGGCACATGAGGTGAGAGCAAGTGCGTGGCCAGCCCTCTTGCTTCAACTGCCAGAGTGTAAGAGGAGGGGTTACCAGGCACACAAAGGCTGGAGTACCACTTTCCTCCACAAATGGGAGTATAAACTGTATAGAGATACTACAATAAATAAAAAAAATAAAAAAAAATAATAAAAAAAAAGTCTGTGTAGTTATAAGGAACTTGTGCGCTATATAGTATTATTCTGGATTACTGTGAGAAAGGAATAAACTTTCCCCCATTTGTTGCTTCTACTTTTTCTTTGCTTCTTCAATAGTGCCATCAGCAGTATCTCCTCCTAATGTTGTGTGCTCCTTTCATTCTGTTCAAAAATCACTGCATAGATAATGGTAAGGTAACAGAATCTTAGTTCTATGAACTTAGTTTCTTGCAAGATAAGGTTTAATAACACTATTACTTTGTATTATATGGCCACTTGTCACAAATGGCTTGATTGCAAACCACTTTAGAAAAGAGATCAGTATCACTATTGATATTTTATGAGTGAAGTTAAAATGCAGATCTCTTGAATCCCAGTCTAAAGCACTGTGGCCTTTGCTAATTAGAGATGAAGTGCTTGAAGCAACCATCCGATTGCTGTTGGTCTCAGCAGTATTCTTATAAATCTAATTATCTCTTAAGACAGCCACTCAGTAGCTGACATGTTAGCAATATGACAAGCCTAAACAAAGAGTGAGTACAAAGACACAGTATAGATTTTATTCTTTCAAAGTGGTAAGTGACATTGTTTTTACACAGATACTATTTCATTAGCTTGGTAGTAAAATAGTGGTAAGCACCACATCACAGCTACTTTTGCTGAAACATACAGATGTTACATGTTGGGCTGAAGCAGATATTCAGGAAAAAGTGAAGCTATATAGTTTTTTCATTGGAGGAGATGACATTTTTGTCATTTTGACTGTTTTTTTGTTCATCCATCCTTTTTCTTCTTTTTCTCATCTTTCTTACTTTCTTAAGTATTTGTGCAGTTAAAGAAGTTCCATATGCAGTATACCTGTCCACTTCATCACTGTGCCTAAATTTGCAAATCATTTGCTCTAGATTGATTTTCAGGAAAAGGAGAGCAAAAGAACCAACCATAGAAAGCAGATTTGCTCCTGAATTGTTCTTTTAAGAAGCTACTTTCTTCTAACTGCCAAAGGCGCCTACAGTAACTGCAGTATTAAATTAGATACTGCACTACATATGAGGTGGAATGTATATGAAACTAGCTACTGTTAGCTGATAGCTTTTTCATAGCACATCTGGAATGTAACTTCTGTTTTCATCCAAACCCACAGCAACAAAGGAATGGAGCACCTGTACAATATGAAGTGCAAAAACGTAGTTCCTCTCTATGATCTCTTGCTGGAGATGCTGGACGCTCACCGACTGCATGCCCCGGTGGCCAGGAGTGCTGCACCGATGGAAGAGGAGAACCGGAGCCAGCTGACAACTGCATCGGCCTCGTCGCATTCCTTACAGTCTTTTTACATGAGCAATAGAGAAGAGGAGAATATGCAGAATACAATATAAAAAGAATAAGTTCATGTAATGGTATGAGAAACCCAGCAGCGTACTACCTAGTTCATGCTACATTTCAACTATAATGCCACCTATGTAAACACTCCAATGACATCAGTCACCTGTATTTTCCATTTGAGTGTTTGTCAAGCACTTAAATTGATTATTCATCCTAAATGGAAGACATTTCATTGCTATGGAGAGCCAGCAAGGATTGTCAGGCTAGCTTAATTTGAAACTTGCAGTGTTTTTATTTACCTTTGCATGTAACTTGGGTAAATACTAACCCTAATTTCAATATTAATTCTACTACCATAAATTAATAGGCCGTACCACCAATGCATATGGGAAGCTGCATAGCAGTAGCCTTTGTTGGTGTCCATTCCAAATTCTGAGCCCGTTTAGTGCTTTACTTGCTTGAAACTTTGAAACTGTTTGGTAGAGATCCCAGGTGTATTTGAGCAAGGGATGCTGGAAGGTGACTGGCATCTCAGCGTGCCACGGTGAAACTCCACTACTAGTGATTGCCTCGTTAAAGTACAGAGGTAGTTCAAGTAGATTCCCATCCCTCTTCTTCTAACAGCAGGAAAGAAGCCCTGTCTGTGAATATTTTTCCCTTTTGTTTCTTTTACCATAGTGGCTCACATCAGCAGACGATTCCCTTCCAAGGTCATACTGACCAAGCTTGCTGGTCCTCTTACTATCCACTCTCGCCAAACTGCATTTTTGTGCACCCCATCTTCTCTGATTCTATAAAGCTGAATCATTCTCTTGCTTTTTAATGTGTATATGAAGGACAATGTGGCAAATAGTGATAATAGATAATTGCTCTTAAATCAGACTAGATGTTTACAGACACTGTCAGGTCTTAAAAAAAAAAGAAATTTACACAAACATACGTGATCTAGCAGTATTTAATAGAATAAAAAATATGTAAAAAAACCCTCCCCACTTCCCACATTTTGTTGTCCTAACAATAAAATGCCCAGGATGTCAATATGAGATTGGCACAGCTGGGTGGGACTGTCCCATTCCACGTGTCAGCATCTTGCCTGCCCAGGTAAGGGCAGAGGGGATGGCCCTACAGCCAGAGCTGTAAGCTTGGCATTACCTTTCCTGGTTTCTGCTCTCTTGGAGCAATTCACAAAACCACTGCTAAGATCCAGCTCATCTGTGGCACCCAATCTGGGCAAGGCTCTCAGCCACTGATAAGACTCCAGGTCACTGCATGTACAGGGGCAAGAACCTCACTTTCCCCAGGCGTGTGCGCAACTGCTTTATGTCAGGGTTAGTCTGACTCTTCAGCTCGACTCTAAATGTACAGAAGGTCCTCCGGTATTAAGAACTTCAGCAGCACATGAAGGGCAGAGACTTTTTAAGAAAGAAAATGACCAATGTATCCTTACTAGATGTTATCCAAAGTAGAAGCTGGTGCTGATGTTTGACCACCTCTAAGCTAGTAAATTAAACATGTCAGAGAATGATGCTGAGTACTAGAATGTGAATTTTATATATGCTAGAGCTTTTTTTAAGAGATTAATGATTTATTTTTCCTGTGCTATCTTGCACTTCCAATCTTCTGGAGTAGTTTGGGAGCTAGATAGGGACTAGTTCCAATAATCAGTTGTGTATGACCACCCTGTCAGTAGGGAAGTTTAACAGGCTGGCACATGGAAGCTGGTCAAGGTGCCAGAGAAAGATTTGGGGATGCTTAATTTATTAGTAGAGCTGAAGTCTTTATGTAAGCTTGATCGGAATATCCTGCACTAATAAAATATAGGAAATAAATAGTACAACTATTGCAGTACAGTAGTGCCTATGCCTAATCACACCCACTGTCAAACAGGTGGTGTGGGTGTACAATGAGATCTAACTTATAGAGCAAGTGTGTAGGCAGAAGGGCATAGGATCAGTTTGTGCTCCAAGGCCAGAATTAAATTCTTAGTAAATGTCTGTAAGGATGTCCAATACATAAATATTGGAGCAAAGGAGAGGCACAGTTCAAAAATATGCACATAAATGCTTGCTATATACTCAAAATGATTCCTTAGCTATGTATCCAGGCCTAAATGTATGAAGAAGTCATTGTAAACTAATAGGCCTTTTATTGATGCATATTTTACTATCTTTTTTTTTTTTTTTTTTTTTTTTTTTTTTTTTTTTGTGTTAAAATGCTGAAGGATTTGTTTTTTTATGTATTCAGTAAGAGTGTGTGTGTGTGTGTGTGTGTGCGTGTGTGTGTGTGTAAGTGCAGATCTGATACCTAAAGGGCTTTTCGGAGGCTTCTAACTGCCTTGGAAAAAGATGCACACTTTGTTTTGAGACCGTGTTTCAAATGTGTTAAAAAAATCATGAAGGCCCTGAAATGAATACAGGTTATGATTTGAATGGAACACAGGAATTGCTGTAGTTACACTTAAATACTCACACCCTTGTCATTCACTTGTAGCCTACTGCGTATTAGAGCTGCTCTTTAAATACTCTGTAGCTGCAACTGGTGTGTTTGCTATAACAGAACATGCAAAGCAAGCTTGTAGGGCATAAGCTGCACAGCAATTCCCTTTAAATAAATGCCTCCTCTCCTATAGTCCAGAAAAGTTCATTATATCAATTCAAGTGCAAATTCAGCTTAGAGCAAAAAAGATTAGTTCAGGGAGAGCAATTCATAGCAAAGGGACAGATTCTGGTGGTACTTAGATGGGGTAAGTATCTCTGTACTCTCCAAAGAGTCCCAGGGAAGCTGGAAAGCATGTTTGTGAAGGGAGGCAGGCAGCAGGCAGGAGGATGTCAGAATGTGCCTTGGAAATAGCCAGAAATAGCCATCAGTTTCCAATTGTATCTCTGAATGCTTTCCTAGACCCAGTCCTCGCAGTGAAGTAGCTGAGTTCTGACCAGTCCAACACACACAGGAACTGCAGTGGAAAGCACCCAGGAAAAAAGTGACCCAGTGATTCCCAGTAATAGATTCATTTACACTGGGGCAGTTTCAAAGCTCTGTCGTTGACTTGTTCTTGATATTTTATTGAAGCAGCACCTTAATGACTATATTAATCTTCACATAGTTATCTGTAAAAATGATTGTCCACATATCAGACAGCTGAATGTAGCCATTCTGTCAATTAAACAAAGTCTACGATACAAAACTGGCAACTTTCTTCTTACCTAGTTCTGAATTACGCTATCAAGTTTGCAGACATTTGTGCCTGACATTTGGTAATTGTTAATTTACAGGATGCTATTTTATGTATATATATATACTTTATATTTACAGCTGACAAACCAGTACTACCTGAATGCCTGGTGCTGGATACTAAAAAAAGAAAATAAAAAATATATTGCATGTAAAAATTGAAAGAAAAATATTAAGGGCAGCTAATTATGCTTTTACCAAAACATTAGTAGTGATGTCTGTGGACAGTACCTAATGATAGAATCATTGTTTTATAATGTTTATACTTGGATTTTTTTAAAAAAAATACAAAAAAAAAAAACCAAAAAACAAAAAAACCCTAGAAACGTAGACAATGTAATACCAGCATAAGCCAAACAGAAATAGACCAGATGAACTATTGCTTTGCTTGTGAATATGGTTGTTATTCAACTATTATGAAAAGCTTGGGAGGCAGGAGAGGGGATAGTGTGGTGCTTATCACGTACTGGTGCCTGGGTTTCCAACAGTACGGGAAAGCTACTCTGGTTTGTAGTGGTCCGAGCCATGTCTCGATCTTGCAGACTTTGTCTCAGGTAAAACTCCCACTTAGGGCAGTTGGATTTGTACTGGGGTAAAATAATTTAATGAGAGTTTCTTGGTGTGTGTTTGTGGTGAATTTGCCATTATGTCTCAATGACATTTCTTGATTTTTTTCTCCTTCTGTACACTGAAGGGTTTGATACTTTAAAAATATAATTAAAACAACAAACAACAACAACAACAAAAAGCTGAACTGAGTTCTCAAGGAGGGACTGTCAGCAGGTCACTTCACTTTGAGAGAAAAAAGAAGAAAAATCCCGATCCTCCAAAACAGGGTTTGTAATAAAGCCTGTATCCATGCCAATTGTGCTGATTGATTCCTAAAGACTTGTGCCAAATGTTTAAAATAAAACAAACCACCAGCAAAGTAAAAATTCTGCCTTAATAGGGTCTGAATCTTATCATAGTCTTTGGTAGGAACAGGACAAGCCTGTTTTGTATATGTAATATCTTGCTTTAAATTGAGAATGCAATCCAACCTAACACTAATGGGGTTTTGTATATAAGGTATTTGCAGATGAACCAATGTGAAGTGTATTTCTGAATCGGAATAAAGACGTCATTTTCAATGTTATCTACAGAGGTAATATAGCTTTACAGACAGAATTTCTGCATATGTATAAAAGGCCATGTCTAAAACCATATTTTAATGCAGAACAGTCTTCTTGTCACCTGCACTATAGCATAATCTCAAATTGATCTGAGAATGTTAAATTAGCATTTCCTCAGCAGTGATGACCTACCCTTTCTATCTGCAACTTCTTTTTCATTTTTCAAATGTAGATAGTCTAATATCCTGAAAGCTGTTTAAAAGTGATTGTTGCCCATAAGGGTACTCAGTTTTGCACTGTGCTTAAAAAAAAAGAAAAAAAAAAAAGAAAAAAAAAAGAAAAAAAAGCATTCAAATGTGCCTAAAAATGTATATGCTGCCATTTTGCAATTTAGTATGCTCTGTATTCCTGTGTGCCTCTAATTAGAAGTCTGTTTCTTCAGAAAGTGCCCAGCGGAGAATGAAGGGATAGACTGCTAGTCATGAGACTTGCATTAACAAGCCACTTTATGTATCACCTTATTGTATATACTCTAATGCTTTTGTGTGCACTACCTATTCTGTCAATGGAAAATCCTTTCTTTGGTATAGGCTCAGCTGCCGTGATATATTTGTTCAAAGTATTCTGTTTCTTCACTGATGCATATAAAAATATTGTTGTCTTTTTGTTTTGGTGAGGTTTTTTTTTCTTTGTTTTGCACCTAAAACGTTCTAAAAAAGTCTAAGTGAAAAAAAAATGGTGGGTTATCTGATTGGTGCAAG